AATGAATTGCAGGAATTGCCAAAGATGTCAAGAGAGCTCATAGAAAGATTAACAAAGGAGACACATTTAAACTGCCCTTCTAAACCAGATAAGAGAGGAGCATACTTGCTGTGTTTTCTTGTACAATAATAATAATAATAATTATAATAATAATAACAATAATAACGATCGATTTATTCACAGCATGGTATGATATAGATATCTATATACAAGCTTATTTAGGCCTTCTTTGCAAAATTTAAGAATAAATATTCAATAACTACATGTATATAACAATTAGTTAAATAAATTGAAAGAAAAGAACTTGAAGATTAACAGACTTTTTGAAAATTTTACAATGAGTTTATAGTTATGTTTTACTCTTTTCACACCAAGCCGATTATTTTCTTCATTTTCTAGTCAAAAAATCCAACATGAGCTACGTAGCATCAGGTTGCAACAACATTCTTCTCCTTTCCATTTTTTTATCTGAATTAAACTGGGCAATATTTGATGAATCTTGTATTTCTGTGCACAACTTATGCCATAATTTTTTTTATTATTAGCTAGCTATATTAGGATAAGCAACGAAAGGAGCATCGTGGCAGGGAGCAGGAGGGGGGGGCAGATGTTCCCTAGCTTCGACCATTCCAAAATTGTGGTAATTTCGTATCTTTTCGGCTAAAGAATATTGGGCGTTAATAGAATGCTATGAAAGTTCAAAGATACCAATCAGCACATGGAGGAGATTATGAAGACAGAGGAAGCCAAGAAACGTTTTCGAATGACAGTCAAACTGATGGTTAAGCTAATAAAAAACTGATGGTCAAGCTTTATTCACAGTCTGCCTAACCAAATCTGTACAATTTCACAGCTTCACGGAGCAATCTACCGGTCGAACGGTGTGACCCCATACAGATATATCAATTGGTGAAGAAGTCATGATATATCTACAGCACATGGATTTGGGTATTCTTCGAGCTGTTTGCAGTTCGAATCCATCAATACTTATGCCACGTTGTAGTGTCTAGATTCTGTTTCCAGATGAAAATGGCGTTAGAAACTTTCAAACGCAAATCTAATATTAAAACCAAAACTTTCCATTCAGTAACACTGCTCCATCCATCCATCCATCCATCCATCCATCCATCCATCCATCCATCCATCCATCCATCCATCCATCCATCCATCCATCCATCCATCCATCCATCCATCCATCCATCCATCCATCCATCCATCCATCCATCCATCCATCCATCCATCCATCCATCCATCCATCCATCCATCCATCCATCCATCCATCCATCCATCCATCCAACCATCCATCCATCCATCCATCCATCCATCCATCCATCCATCCATCCATCCATCCATCCATCCATCCATCCATCCATCCATCCATCCATCCATCCATCCATCCATCCATCCATCCATCCATCCATCCATCCATCCATCCATCCATCCATCCATCCATCCATCCATCCATCCATCCATCCATCCATCCATCCATCCATCCAACCATCCATCCATCCATCCATCCATCCATCCATCCATCCATCCATCCATCCATCCATCCATCCATCCATCCATCATATTTTTTACGAATTCTCATGTTTTGGTTACCTGCTAGACTTCACAAAGAGCCACAAAAATTTGTCACTGTGGAAGTTTCTATGCAAGAGCCTGTTATCAGTTGTCCCAGGTAGGCCCAATTGAAGCCTTGGTTTCTCTCTCCCCTACGTATGTGCCTTTTTCGAATTACCATTAAACCTTAAAATGAACATTTCTTCTAAATCACCAATCCTAGGTAGGACTAGGTTAAAACGGCTTAGCTAGAGTGGAAGCTCTAAAGACGTTTGTTGTAACTGCTTTTCTCAGATTACCAATTACATTACGTTAAACATAGAATTATGTGATACAAAAAGACACGAAGGCTCTCAACGATCACGAATGTATGACCCCCAAACTGTTTATTTTAGAAGCAATTTAATTGGTGTAGCGTAGTTTAGGGCATCTTAGTTCGATGATTATGGGCCCCTGATCAAAACGGTCTTCCAAACTATTTTATATCTTTGTTTTTAAGAAGTTGCGCCAATTCACCTTGTTTTCAAAACGAGGACTTTCTTGCAGTCCGTTCTTCGAGGCTTCGTCTCAGCTTTTTCCTTAGGCAGCCTAGAGGCCCCCGTTATGCCACGTGGCTAGTAGAACTGATGGAGCAACCCTAACAGTTCAGACCTCGCGTTTCTGATTGGCCTGTTTCGATGAACTGATTTTCATGAGTTTCAAAGACAAATTTTAGGAAATTGAAATTGAATTATTACGCTTCCCTGTTAGATGATAGATAATGTTAAAACGATTAAGAGGTCCGAAAGAATAGCAATGACAGACAGACAGAAAGAAAAGCAAAAATATTCGCTGAATCGACGAAATGCAAAATGCTCTAATTCAAAATCTTAGTGAAAGCAAATATTGGATACTAACAATTCTGGTAAATATAGCTAGCCACAAATATTCGTCACGGTGTCGAGGTTCTATGCAAGAGCCTGTTATTAGTTGTGCCAGGTAGGCTTGGTTTTGTTTAAGTTCTCTCTTCCCTAAGTATGAGCCTCCTACGATTTAACCCCTAGACCATAGAATGAGCATTTCTACTAAGTCACCAACCTGATATGACAATTTTTTAAAAATGAATAACATATGTCCATTCTGAAAGGGTTTTTAATCGCAAATGGCAAGCTATAATAGAGAAAACATTTCAAAAATGTTATTGTTTGACGTCCAAAATGCTTCGTTTCTCAAAGTGAACATCAAGAACGCAAATTGTGACAAAAGTGAACTAATTGTGTGTTAAAATATAGAACTTCTAGACGTGAGGGTTTATAGTATGCAAGAAACTAAGATGATGTAAACATGTGCTAGAACAGATAAACACTGTGCAAGAACAAATAGTACCAACGTAGATATGATTTTTGGTAATGTCAATCTCAAAAGCACGTTATCTGAATTCATCAAAAGCAACCTTCCGTTTCCATACTCCATCTAATTTTTTGGAGATTCCTCTTTTTGTTGCTGCCCAAATCGCCTGGCCGGAGTCATCTATTATCCAAGAGCTTTCTGGCAACTCTGGTAACAAATCAACACTGGCTGCTTTCAGAGCTTTTCTGATTTGCCCTTGATCCTTTACTTGTGTCCATTCGGAATCTTCCATCTGATCAAACACACTGTATGGGTAATAAGAAATAGCATAAGATATTCCAAATCTGCTCAATCCATAGACAGTTTTCTTTTCAACATCAACACCCATCAGTGAGGAAATATAAGGCAGCTGTCGCCAAAATTCATTCTGCTTCTCTGTGAAAAAGCAAGTGGCAGAGTCTCTTGTCGTGTGTGTTTTATTTTGATAACAGAAAAAGAATTGCTGATTTACTTCGTCATAAATCATGCTGAATGCTGGAGACGGCAACCTCACTGATTTCTCCCTGATATCTCTACTCTGGTTAATTTTGCATTTGAATGGCACATTCCTCTCTAAAGTCGAGTTCACAGTTCCATTGAATTTTGCCAAGTTGTTCTTATACGCAAAATCAATGATGATATCTTCATTGCAGTTTTCTCCTCTTGATAAAGTCTTTGGGTATTTTGCCTGGAGTGTTATCGAGAATTCCTGCCTGTTTAGCAGCCACATTGTATCAGTTTGAATCATAATAAACCCAGGCGTGGTTGTGTTTCTGGACGGGGGTAGACTGAAGCGACTTGTGTTGACGAATGCCAGTGATTTCAACTGAAGAAATTTGGTATTGAAATAAATCATGAGAGTTACACCATAAGCATTTGAGTTGCTTTTTCCAATCAAATGGGAAATTGAGAGGTTTAGGTAAAGATAGCTATTTTCAACCAAATTATCCAAATTGAACGTTGTTAAATTAAACTGAAGATTGCTCGAATCTGTCTTGGATCTTTTGATTTGATACGTTGTTGAATAAGCCAGGATTCCAGCCTCAGTTTCTGTGGTTATAGTTAGAAAGTTGTTGCTATTTATCAATTTTCTTTGATCTTTCTCTTTAAAGGCAAAATCTTCTGTTTGCTTTTATTTCTCTCTTGCTGAGCAAGTTCCCATTTTTCTTCAATACTTTTCTTTATGATCGATTTAATTATCTCGACAGTTCACCGTACTATTTCGAGTAAACGCTCTTTTAATCCCCAATTCGAATAAACTTTCCTTCTTTATCAAAAAGCAGCTATATTGAAATAGCGAAAAATATATAAGCGATTAATAGTGTAATTGCGAAACGACGCAGAAGGAAATCTTATATGTTTTGAAACCGGGAACTTCATGATTTGCAGAGAGCTCCTTCGATAAGTAATACACCGCTGACGTTTAGAGCAGCCGTGACGAAAAAGGGTTGTAGATATAAGAAATATCCGTTTTCTATTAGTCAGGTTTTCTAATATCGTAATTCATCGGCGATGATCTATGCAGCTTCCTGATGGTCTATGACAGTCTGCGATGGTTTATGACATATGAAAACCGGGTCATCGGGAACCATCGGCGATCATCCCCAATCATCGCAAAAGTCAAAATAATTTGACTTTCCCGACGCTTCCCGACAAACAATAGTAAAGAGAACAATGGATCAGGAATGTTCTCTAATAAAATGTTCATTTGAACTGAAGGGAGGGTAACTGTTTCGCGGAAAAACTGGAATGTTTTCGATAGTACAGAGAACATCAAAGGGGCTATAATTCCTACTTTGATTCCTAGTCTTAAGTTTGAGTTTCGTCATTTTTTCAAGGTGAATCAGGGTGAATCTTCAAGCTATGTCATGATCATTACATAATACACTAAACAGGCATTTTCCCAAGAAAA